GTTGGGGGGCCTCCTGGGCGTTCCCTCATTCGTTCCCTGGGAGCCCCATTGGGGGTCTCTTGGGGCTTCCTGGGGCCTCTTGGGCGCCTCACGGGGCTTCGTGGGAGCCTCTTGGTGGCCTCCGGGGGCCTACAGGCGGCCTCTAGGGCCAGAGACATCGAAATATCGGTTGGCGGTCCCCCTCTGGGCCCTCTCTTGGGGAGCTCTTGGGGCACAGTTGGGTTGTCTGGGGAGCCTCCTGGGCCGTCTTGGGGCCCTCGTCGGGGCCTCGTGGCCCGTCTTGGAGCGATCTGAAGGGCCTCCGAGCGAGGCCGTGAGGGAGCGCTGGGAAGCGGGGAAAGCGAGAACGCCTAAATCCTTCAAAAACCATCGGAAAATTAGTGAATCTTGCCTCCCAGGGCCCTCTTGGGGAGCCTCTTGAGTCCGTCCTGGAGCGTGTTGGAGTCCTCGTCGGCCGTCTTGAGGGCAGCTTGGGCGTCTTCGGGGCCTCTTGGGACCGTCTAGGGCCCTCTCGGGACCTCCATTAGCCTGTCGTGGCCTGCTTCGGGGCGGGCCCGGGCCGCCTCGGGACCCCTCTGGGCCTTCTCTTGGCGCGCTCTTGGGGCACACTTGGGTTGTCTGGGGAGCATCCTGGGCCGTCTTGGGGCCCTCGTCGGGGCCTCGTGGGCCTTCTTGGAGCGATCTGAAGGGTCTCCGAGGCCGTGAGGGAGCGCTGGAAAGCGGGAAAAGCGAGAACGCCAAAATCCAAAACACTCGGAAAACGAGTGAATCTTGCCTTCCAGGGCCCTCTTGGGGAGCCTCTTGAGTCCGTCCTGGAGCGTGTTGGAGTCCTCGTCGGCTGTCTTGAGGGCATCTTGGGCGTCTTCGGGGCCTCGTGGGACCGTCTTGGGCCCTCTCGGGACCCCCTTAGCCTGTCGTGGCCTGCTTCGGGGCGGGCTCGGGCCGCCTCGGGAGCTCTGGACCCCCCCCGCAACCCCCGGTGGGCACCGATGGGGGGAACAGGCAGCGGCCCGCCCCCCCCCCGGGCCTACTCCGAGATAGAGAATCATGTTCCCGGGAAGCTTTCCGGGAGCATGATTTGTTCGGCTCTCTAAGAGGGGGGCCTCTGGGGGCTTACCGAGGGGCGCCTTTTGGCCTTGTCGGCAAGCCTATTGGAAACATGGTTGGGGCGGTGGGCGGAAGCCCAAGGAATCATGTTCCCGGAAAGCTATCTCGGAAATCCGATTTACCGAAGTGTCTTGGGGGCCCGCAGGGGGCTTCCCTGGGGCCCCTTGGGGGCCTATTGGGGCTTCTGGGGGGCCTCTTGGGAGCCTCACGGGGCTTCTTGGGAGCCTCTTGATGGCCTCAGGGGGCGTCCTAGGAGCCTCTCAGGCCGGAGACCTTGAAATGTCGCGCTCTTCGGGCCCTTTGGGTCGCTCTTGGGGCTCTCTTGGGGCGCTCTCGAGGCCCTCCTGACTCATCTGGGGAGCCTCCTGGGCCGTCTCTGGGCTTTCTTGGGGGCCTCTTCGGCCGTTTTGGAGCGATCTGAAGGGCCTCTGACGCGGTCCGGGACCGTGGGGAGGCGGAGCATGGGAGAGCTCAAGAATGCTTCACAAACCATTGGAAAATTAATGATGTTCGGCTTCTGGGGCCCTTTGGAGGGGCCTCTGGAGGCGCTCTTGGGGCGTTTTGGCGGCGTCGTCGGCCGTCCTGAGGCCATCTTCGGCGTGTCCTGGGCCTCTGGGGGCTGTCTTCGGGCGTCCTGGGAACCCAGAAATCATGTTCCCGGAGAGGCTTCCAGGAACACGATTTCGAACGAGGCCCTCTTGGGCCTCCTGGAGGCTGTCTTGGGGGCCTCCTGGGCCAGCTTTGGGGCCTCTTGGGCCGTCTTGGGAGGTTCCGTCAGCCCCACAGGACGACCCTTTTGGGCCGTCTTGGCCCTTTTGGGTCTCTCTTAGGCTGTCTTGGGGCTCCTCGGGGGCGTCTGGGGCACTGCGAAGACGAAGCAAGGGAGTATGCTGATAATGCACGTTTTACTGAGGGAACGGGCTGATTTTTGCCTCTTGAAGGCCCTCTTGAGATCATTTTTTTATTCCGGCCGGCAACGCTCGTTACCCGGGGGGGGGGGTCGTGCCCCCCGGGTAACGGTAACGCTTGGGCTGGGCGGGGTATGGCGAAGCAGGGGCGCTCTGCGATCGCCATAGTATGCGCGCGAGCAGCACTCTCTGCCTGAGAGCACCACAGTGGCTTGCGATTCGAGTACAAGCGCAAAGCCCGCCGCGTGGTCCCGGCACCACGCCCGCGCCCGCGCGCGCGACGACGATGATCGACGAGCGACGAGCGACGAGGTCGACGACGACGACGACGACGTTTGCCGCCTGTTTCGGCCTCCGGAGGCCGTTTTCGGGCGCCGTCGACGACGACGACGACGACGACGACGACGACGACGACGACGACGACGACGACGACGACGACGACGACGACGATTCGAGTACAAGCGCAAAGCCCGCAAGCACCAGCATCGCGCATGCGAGCGCCGCAATGGCCTGCGAGCGCCCACAGTGCGCCTGCGACCACCACACCACAGTGCGCATGCCTTCGGGCACCAGCATGTTGGAGGGGAAGACCGAGACCCCCCCCGCGTACGAGCGTTACCGTTACGGGGGGGGGGGGGGGGGAGAGGCCCGGGTAACGAGCGTTACCCCCCAGAGGATAAAAAAACAATCTCCGGGGCCCTCTTCGGCCATCTTCAAGCCATCTCGGCCCTCTTGGGCCTCGCTGAGGCTGTCTCGTGGGCCTCTTGGGCGTCCTGGGAATCTGGAAATCATGTTCCCGGAGAGGCTTGCGGGAACAGGACTTCGAACGAGGCCCTCGTGGGCCTCCCTGTGGCCGTCTTGGGGGCCTCCTGGGCCGGCTTCGGGGCCTCTTGGGCCGTCTTGTGGGGTTCCGTGAGCCCCACGGGACGATCTTTTTGGGGCGTCTTGGGCCCTCTTGGGTCTTTCTTGGGCTGTCTTGGGGCTCCGCGGGGGCGTCTGGGGCATTCTGAAGACGAAGCAGGGGAGTGTGCTGAAAATGTATATTTTACGTAGGGGATGGGCAGATTGTTGCCTCTTGAAGGCCCTCTTGGGGGCCTCTTGGGACGTCTTCGCGGTCTCCTGGGCACTGTGAGAAACGTCTTGGGCGTCCAAGGGCTAGCTTTGAGCGCTCCAGGGCCGCCATGGAACGTTTTGGGAGCCTCATGGGGTTCTCTGGCCACGCCTTGGCCGCCCCTCGGTCTGTCTTGGGCCGTGTTGGTAGCCTCTTGGGGCCGTCTTTGGGGCCTCTTGTACCGTCGTGCACGCCGTGAAGACGGACAATTCGTAGATGCTAAAACTGTATGTTCCCTTTGCAGAATCAATGAGTTTGGCCGCTTGGGGCTCCCTTGGAAAGCCTCTTGGGGCGTCGTAGCGGCCTCTTGGGCTCTATGGGAGCCATCTTGGGTGTCCAGGGCCGATCTTTGAGCGCCCTAGGGCCGTCTTGGACCGATTTGGGGGCCTCTTGGGGCTCCGTGGGCACGCCTTGGCCGCCTCTTGAGCACGCCTTGGCCGCCTCTGGGGCTGTCTTGGGCTCCTCTTGGGCCGTGTTGGGAGCCTCTTGGGCCGTCTTGGGGCCGTCGTGCCTCCTGTGCTCTCGTGCAAGCCGTGAAAGCCGAAAAGACGTAGATGCTAAAAATGTACGTTTTCTGATGCAAAATCAAAGATTTTGGCCGCTTGGGGCTCTCTTGGAAAGCAACGTGGGGCGTTGTTGCGGCTTCTTGGGCTCTATGGGAGCCATCTTGAGCGTCCAGGGGCGATCTTTGAGCGCCCCGGGGCCGTCTAGGACCGGTTTGGGGCCACTTGCGCCTCCCTGGGCACGTATTGGCCGCCCCTTGGCCCGGACAGGAGCGCTCCCAGAGCCCCGGAGCGGCCATGGGGGACGCAGGTCCTGGCCTGGCGGCCCCGATCCCCTTCCGCCGGGTATATATATATATATATTATATATATATATATATATATATATACATATATATATATAATATATATATATATATATTCCCCGAGCGGATATTGAAAGAATTGGCGAAATCTCCAGGCAAATTTCGGTCGGCGGCCAGGTTCCGGGGCTCCCGGTTCTGAATTCCCGGGTTCCCGGTTGCTCGTTCCAGACCGATTTCGGTGGGCGGCGGGGTTCCCGGGTTTCTGGGTTCCCAGGTTCTTGGTCGATCTCCTTCTCGATCGGTCTCACCATCGATCTCACTACCCACCTCTCTATTGATCTCACAATTGATACCACTATTGATCGCACGGGCGATCTCACGATCGATCTCAGTGACTCGCTGTCACAATCGGTCTGGCGACCGATCTCACAATCGATCTCAACATCCATATCACGAAATTCAAACCATCAGTTGCTTGGGGATGTTCTCTGGTGTAATCTGTATATTTATACACCTATCTGTCTTTAGATGTTATCACTCTCACTCTCTCTCATCCCCCTCAACTCTTCAATGTACTCTCTCGCGTATACTCTCTACGATGGACAACATGCACTCTGAACGCCACCGTGGTCGCAAACACTCTCATTCTCTCATTCTCTCTCTCTCTCTCTATTTCTCTCTCTCTCTCTCTCTCCACTTCGTGTGTGTCTCTCTCTCTCTCACTCGACCCTGGCCGCCCACCGAAATCGGCCCAGAACCAAAAACCGAGAACCTAGGCCGGCCGCCAATCGAAATCGACCCCGCATTCTCTCCGACAACCAGAGCGGGGAGCCTGGGAACCCAGCCGCCCACCAAAATCGGCCAAATACTTTTGCCTATTCCATTTACTTCCGCGAGGACTTCTTCAGCGCAAACATCGGGAAAGCATCCTTATCCTGCACCACATACTGCTTCTACATCCCAAAACTAATCCTCGTCTTCGTGTCCATCGCTTTCCGAGGAACACGGCTCGCCGGGTGGTGGCTCATCAGAAGAAAAGCAGAGTTCACGGGCCAGCGCCGCCGTCCTGAGTTGGCCAAGCGAACATGTCGAAGGTGATGCCCGGATTGCACTTCGCTACGTTGTCCATGCTGGATGAGTGGACACTGGCGGGTTGGGTTGGATGCGGCAGGAGAAGGGCTGCCAAGGCCCTAATCTGGATCCAGATTCTGTGGGACATGGGCCCGGGACGAGGACTCTAGGATTCTACTCGCGCGCGCCCCTGTAGGGGCACGAGGAGCAGACGGAGGATAAGGACAGCCAAATGGGAGAGGAGGAGGAGGAGGAGGAGGAGGAGGAGGAGGAGGAGGAGGAGGAGGAGGAGGAGGAGGAGGAGGAGGTTGGAGCGTCGTAGGGGGGGCCACGTCGTGTCCTCATCATCGCCGCCGCCGCCGCCATCCACGAGTACCGCCGATGGGCAATTCGACTTCCCGCAAGGCAGCACGAGCTAACGAGTTCGAGTCTGCCGAACAGAAGGGGATCGTGGCCAGACGAGATACAAATGGAGGCGGAGGAGGCGGAGGAAGAGGAGGAGAATGAACCCGCACGAGATCTGGCTTCAGTGACCCCTAGAACCCGGGCTCACGACCCAAGAGGCTGACCAGCCGAGGAGGGTCTGCAGGGGTGGCGCCCCGGAGCGCCACCTGTCCGCCTTGCACATCTGCTTCGCTCCCTCCGTTCCCCCGTCCCTCCTCCCCCCTTCCCACCGCCGTCCCGCCCGGACCCGTGGCGTGATGGACCATCCGCGTCGCGCACTCCGCCGATCGACGCCTTAACTGTCCTTCGTGCCCCTGCTGGACCGGGCATGTGCGTGGCTGCGGGACGGCACGAGGAAGCTGTTCGCAGGCTTGACCGACAAGGGGTTCGGCGTGCCCGTGCTGGCCGCGCAGCTCCCGACGCGGGTGGAGTCCTCGGCCCCCGACGGGGCCGAGCTCCTTGCCAGCTGTGCGCTTGGGTGGCCCGCGGTGCGTGCCCGGTTGCACCAGGACGTGACGAAGCTAAGTTACTCCTCACGGGGTCGACAGGCCCGGTGTCACCGGGGCAAGGGGGGCATGTCTGCGCCTTCCTCGAGGCGCGCTTCCTGAAGAGGCTGGGCACGAAAGTCAACAAGCGCGTAATCATGGTGCGGGCCCGACTGGCGCTTCTCTCCGTCCCGTCCCTTCTCCCATCGTCGAGGCACGGGCTGCGGCGGGCGGGCAGGCCACGTGGCTGCAGCAATCGGAAGCAGTGGCGCGGAAGGTGGGCATCTCGGCGCCGCCCCCCGCGGCGACGCCTGCCCAGCGCCGCCGGGTGGCTACAGCGTAGGGCCGCGCCGTCGTCGACCCCATCCTGGAGGCGGCTGAGTAGGATTGGTTCGCGGCGCAGGTCGGCCGCCTCGTGGAGGACAACCTGTCTCCCTCGGCGACATTCTCCCGCGGCGGCAGCCATGGCCGCGCGAGTGGCTTCAGGCACGGAGGGGGCCCACCATGTGACACAACCACAGGGCTTCGTGCACGGCGCGGCTCACGCTGTGCATCCCCGGCGCCGTGTGGGGGCTCTATGAGGACGCGGGCGCGGCGGCGGTGGAGGGCTGCCCCCTCTGCGGCGGCCCCGCAGCACCCCCTCCGCATTTGGTGGAGGAGTGCGTGGAGACGGAGCGCTTTCGTGCAGAGGCGGCGGGCCCGTGGGCCCCGGCGCGCACCGTCACGCTGGCCTGGGCCCTTGCCCCGCAGAGGGCGCCATGGAGGTCCTGCGGCCCGGGTGCGGCTTGTGGGGGCGGCCGCGGGCGCGTACGTCGGGGCGAAGGCGCGGGCGCGCGCGAGCCTAGAAAGGAACCACCACCACCAGGGGGGGGGCTTGACGGATGTTCTGGGTGGCCGCCGTGATGGCAGCCGGAGCGGGGACCGCAGCCGGAGCCACGGCCGCTGGGCCAGCGACCTTCAACAGTGGAGGCCGAAGCTGGAGCGGCGACCGCCGGGGCGGCGACCGCAGCCGCGCGAGCCGCGACTGTAGCCCGACGCCACCAGCGGGCACTCGCGATGGCTCGCTGGTGGCAACGGGGGCGGGCCCAGCACCAGCGAGATCCACAAGCGAGATCTCCCACCCGCCCTCCCCCTCCCCTGTCTCTTCTGCCCTCTGTACGTCCGGCCCTGCCCCCCTCCCCTTCCCAACCCCCATCCCTTCCCATTTCAGTCCCCTACCCTCGCCTCCGCTGCATCGCTGCGTTCCTAACCTGGTTACTCCCCCCTCCCCACCCTGTATACCTCTGATTCCCCTATGCATCCCCCCCATCCTTCATCCTTTTCCCTTCATGCGCCTCGCCCCTCTCTCAGTACGATTCAAAGACAAGACAAATCAAATCATATAGGTACCCCCCAGTCGAAGAAAGAAGTGCGGGGATACCGTATCACCACGAATATGTGGATAAGAGTGAGGGGGCGGTGGGGACGTCGGCGGTCTGCGGGAGGAACCCGCCGCAGGCGCCAAAGGTTCACAAATTATACAACGAGCCCAGCGCAAGCGCCGGCTTTTTCTTTAAACCAATGTGAGTAGGTCGCGGGTGGGTCGCGGGTGGGTCGCGGGGTGGGTCGCAGGTGGGTCGCGGGGTGGGTCGCGGGGGGTCGCTGGTGGGTCGGGGTGGGTCGCGGGTCGCGGGGTGGGTCGCGCGGGGTGGGTCGCGGGGTGGGTCGCGGGTGGGTCGCGGGTCGCGGTGGGTCGCGGGTCGCGGGGTCGCGCGGGTGGGTCGCGGGTGGGTCGCGGGTGGGTCGCGGGTGGGTCGCGGGTGGGCGCGGGGGGTCGCGGGGTGGGTCGCGGGTGGGTCGCGGGTCGCGGGTGGGTCGCGGGGTGGGTCGCGGGGTGGGTCGCGGGGTGGGTCGCGGGTGGGTCGCGGGGTGGGCGGGGTCGCGGGGTGGGTCGCGGGTGGGTCGCGGTGGGTCGCGGGTGGGTCGCGGGTGGGTCGCGGGTGGGTCGCGGGGGTTGGGTTGGGTGGCGGCGTTGGTCGCGGGGTGGATCGCGGGTGGGTCGCGGGGTGGGTCGCTGGTTGGTTGCGGGTTGGGTGGCGGCGTTGGTCGCGGGGTGGGTCGCCGGGTGGGTCGCGGGGTGGGTCGCGGGGCGGGTCGCTGGTGGGTTGCGGGTGGGTCGCGGGTGGGGCGACGACAACAGCAACAACAACAGCAACAACAACAGCAGCAGCAGCAACAACAAAAACAAGAACAATAACAAAAACAACAACAAGGTCAAGGCCGGCATGGCCCCCCCCGGGGTGCGGGAGCGGATCCGCCGGTTCCACCACAGTGGAAAAGGCCGGCACTGCCCTCCCGGTCAGTCCGAAGGGGGGTGGGGGGGCGAACAACACAACACAACATCTTAGGGAATCCTTAAGGAATCCTGAAGAATCCCTAGGGAATCCTGAGGGAATCCTTAGGGAATCCTCAGGGAATCCTTGAATCCATCGGGAATCCCGATGGGATCCTTAGGGAATCCTTAGGGGATCCTTAAGAATTCCAATGGAATTCCTAGGGAATCCTCAGGGAATCATTCATAATCCCCAGGGAATCGTTAGGGAATCCTTAGGGAATCTCTTGGGAATCCTTCAGAATGCTAAAGGAATCCTTGAGAATCCGAAAGGTATCCCTACTGAAACCCCTAAGAATCCCCAGGGGGTCCTCAGGGAATCCTTAAGAATTCGTAAGGCATCCTTAAGAATCCTCAGGGAATCCCTACTGAATCCTTAAGAATCCCAAGGGAGTCCTCAGGGCTTCCTCAAGAATCCCGGAGGAATCCTGAAGAATCCCAAGGGCATCCTTGAGACTCCCTGGGGGGTCCCGAAGGACTCGCATCCCAACGGGATCCTAAAGGATCGCTAAGAAATCCTCAAGAATCCTTAAGGAATCCTTCCTAGGAATCCTTGAGAATCCCTAAGGAATCCCTGAGGAATCCTTAAGAGTCCCCAAGGGATCCTTAGGGATCCCTAGGTAATCCCTAGGGGATCCTTTACAATCCCTGAGGAATCCTTTCGAATCCCTCAGGAATCGTCAAGATTCCCTGGGGAGTCCCTAGGGAATCCTTAAGAGTCCTCAAGGAGTCCTGTGGGGATCCTTCAGGAATCCTTACGGAGTCCTTCGGGAATCATTGAAGATCACTAGGGGGGCCTCCGGGAATCCTCAGGGAATCCTTAAGGATCCTTAAGAACCCCTCGGGCATCCTTCAGAATCCGCAAAGAATCCTTACGGCATCCTGAAGAATTCTAGGAACCCTGAAGGAATCCTCCGGGAATCCTTCAGAATCCTTAGGAGAATTCTTGGAGAAGCCTTAAGAATCCCGAGGGAACCCTTACGATTCCCAAATGAAACTTTAGAGAATCCTTAAGGAATCCTTCGGAATCCTTGGGGAATCCTTAAGAATCCCCAAGGAATTCTTCAGAGTCCACATGGGAACCTCAGGGAATCCAGAAGGAATCCAGGGAATCCTTAAGAGTCCCTAGGGAATCCATAAGGGATCCTTCAGAATCCTCAAGGGAATCCTGAGAATAATCCCTAAGAAATCCTTTGGGAATCCTTAAGAATCCCTAAAGAATCCTGTGGGAATCCTCCGGGAATCCTTGAGAATCCCTAGGGAATCCGTAAGAGTCCTTACGGTATCTTCAAGGAATCCTGACGATTCCATAAGGTATCCTCATAAAATCCTCAAGAATCCCTTAGGCATCCCTGGGGGCCCCTTAAGAATTCCTAAGGTACCATTCGGGTTCCTTCAAAATCCCTAGGGGATTCCTCAGAACCCGCATGGAACCCTTAAGACTCCCTCAGGTATCTGTAGTATGGGTATGAATAGTGGTAATCGACAAATAAGATGTTTGGTAAAACTGATGGATCTCCCCGCTTCCAGAACTGGCGCGGGCTTCCACTTGCGGTCCCCTTGCTCCTGCCTTTGCTTGCCCTCTCTCGCCCCTTCTCTCCTCGCCGCCGCTTGGCGGCTCAAGCCTTTTTCGAAGGCCAAGCTGGGGGTCGGCCTCAGTTGGCCGAAGGCCGGGCCCCGGGACCGGGGCCAGAAGACTTTCAGGCCCTGGTTCCAGGCCTGAAAGGAGGCGCCCGCGGCCGCATGATGCCGCGCCTGGCGCCGCGCGGCTGGG